TATGGGATGGGGGTGGTATGAGGTTAGGTGGGGTTGTTATGGGATGGAGATCACTGTGTGGGGTTGTTATGGGATGTGTGGAGTTATTGTGGGATAAAGATCATTGGGGTTGTTATGGCATAGAGATCGTTGTGGGGGGCTGTTATGGGATGGGGTTGGGTGGGTTATGATGCGATAGAGATCACTGTGTGGGGTTGTTAGGGGATAGAGATCACTGTGTGGGGTTATTATGGGATGGAGATCATTGGTGTGGGGTTATTATGGGATGGGGGTTGTGTGGGGTTAGGTGGGGTTGTTATGGGATAGAAATCATTGTGGGGGGGTTGTTATGGGATAGAGATCGTTGTATGGGGTTGTCATAGGATGTGTGGAGTTATGGGATAGAGACCATTGTGGGGGGTGGGGGGGTTATTATGGGATGGAGATCGTTGTGTGGGGTTGTTACAGGATAGAGATCGTTGAATGGGGTTGTTATGGGGTTGTGATGGAGCTGGTCAGGATAAAGGTCATTGTGTGGGGTTATTATGGGACACATCATTGTGTGGGGTTGCTATGGGATGGAGATCGTTGTATTGGGTTGCTATAGGATAGAGATGGTTGTGGGGGGTTATTATGGGATGGGGGTTATGGGATAGAGACCGTTGTGTGGGGTTATTATGGGGTTGTGATGGAGCTGGTCGGGATAAAGATCATTGTGTGGGGTTATTATGGGATGGTGTGGGGTTATTATGGGGCTGCGATGGAGTTGGCTGAGATAAAGAGCAGGGACGTGTCCAGAGCAGTTTAAAATGCTCATTTAACTGCTGGCTGCGCACTCGCAGCACTTTGGGCCGTGTTTTCCCCGGCTCCGGGGGGAGCCCCCTGTGTGTGGGGGCTGTACCTGTGGCAGTGGCGGTGAAGAAGCCCCCGTTGCTGTAGTAGGACAGGCGCTGCTCGGTGCCCTCCGAGGGCTCGGATTTCTCATCGGCCGCGCCGCTGATGCTCAGGGCGCTGGCGGAGCGGGAATGCTCCCGGCTACGGCGCTGTGCCTGCACTGGGGACGGGACAGCGGCCACACTCAGCACCCCGGGGGGCTGAGAGAGCACCCCGGGGGTCTCAGTCAGCACCCTGGGGCTCAGAGAGGGTACCCCAGACTCGGAGAGAGCACGCCGGGGCTCGGAGAGGGCACCCCAGGGTCAGAGAGAGCACCATGGGGATCGGAGAGGGCACCCCAGGCTCAGGGAGGGCACCCTGGGGATCTCAGTCAGCATCTTGGGTATCTCAGTCAACACCCTGGGACTCAAAGAGAGCACCCTGGGGCTCTTAGAGAGACCACCATGGGGCTCAGAGACACCAACCCTGGGGCTCTCAGTCCCCAACCCCAGGGATCTCAGAGTCACCAACCGCAGAGCTGAGACCTCACAGAACCCAGCCCTGCTAAACTCAACTTTTTCACGATCCCAGTGTAGTTCTATAGTTCCACAGTGGGATTTCTCAGTGGTTTTTTTTAAGTATTCCATGCCGAAGTCCTGCTCTTCGATATTCACACTATTTTAGCCTTTCTCCAGCCTCTTTCCTCTTCATCTTGGCTGCTTCCAAAAATTTTATTCTAATTATCCTGTGATTTTCTTTCTGACACAGCACTGAACCATCCCCACGACTTTCTAGCATCCAGGTATTTTTCCTCTCAGACAGGAGTTATAAAAGAGATCACTGAGAACAGCCTGTTCAGTAATTCCAGAAGGAAGCACAGGTTGTATCACAGCAACTGTGGATCATATAAACAATTCTCCTCCTGCTGCCTCTGTTGGATCATTTTATGATTTTATGATTAATAATGTATTTTTTGAACAACAGTTACACTGTGAGGAACAGATACAGCAGCTATTTCTCCTGTGTCCCTTGGGGTGTCTCAGCTCTGTTTGGCACCCAGACCACTCCCCTGCAGGCTCTAAATCCCATTTTTCCCCTGGGACACACCTGAGATCAGGTGCAGGCTCCGGGATTGGATGTTGTCCTCGGCGGGGTCGTAGTCGAAGACAGAGCCGGGGTTGGTTCTCCACACCCGGAGCCCTGCAGGGAAAACGGAATTTCCTGAGGAGAGGCCGAGCAGCACAGGAGCTGTGCCCTCCCCAGCCCTGCCTGGACACGGCTGGGAGTAAGCTGGGATAGTGGGAAGTGTCCTGCTGATGGCAGGGTGGGACTGGAGGAGCTTTAATGTCCCTCCACCCCAAACCAGTCAGGAATTGTTTGAAAAATCACCTTTATTTTATAAATTAGTGCTTCTCAATTTTGCAGCGCAAATTTGGCTTTTTTACAAGCAATCTAGAGCAAGGTATTTCTCTACTAGATAGAGATGAAATTCAGAACAGAAGAAAGAACCATCAATGCAGTGTGGCATTCTCAAGGTGGGGACAGCAGCTCACAGGTGATTTACACCTGGGGGGGGAGAGAATATTTCCAACAAGGACTTGGATGAGAGCATCTCCAGGTGATGATGAATTGGAATTGATGTGGCTGAGCTTAAATTTAACCCCCTCCTGTACCAGCTGTGCCCAGCTGTGCTGACCTGTGAGGTTCTCCTGGTCCTGGTCCACACGTTTCCTCTCCATCTGCACCACCCTCCTCTGGATGCCCCTGTAGCTGATGTCACTGAAGTCCTGCGTGTTCTTCTTCACGCGCTCCGTGATGGGGTCGGTCACCACGGGCGTGAAGCTCCCTTTGCTCTTCTCGAAGTCCTCGTGGTACTTCACCTGCAATTCCAAAGGATTGTCATTCCTGCTTCCCTCGGGGTCATTCCCAGCACGGAGAACTCCTGAACTTTGCCTTTCCCCATCCTGAGAGAGAGCCCCAATCCCAAACTCGCTTCAGCATTAAAGACTTGAGCAACCCAACCTGGCAGGACACGGGTAGGACACGCTGCCAGGCTGGGTAATGTTTGTATTTAACTCCTCTCGCAGGGGAAGGACAGCTCTGGGAATGCTCTTACAGTGGAGATGTGTTTCTGGGTCTCCCTCACACGCCGCATCTCCGGGGTGTCCAGCACGTAGGCGGCTTTTCCTTGCACCTGCTTGCGGAAACTGTCGGAGTAAAGAACCTGCCAGGGGACGAGGGGACAGCAATTACCTCTGGGGCACCAGGCTGCCAAAGAAAGGCCTGGAGAAAGGCCAGTCTCCGATTTTTTTTATATTTTTTTTTTAAGTGTGATTCTTGCTGAAGAAGTGTAATTTTATACACCACGGAGTATTTGAAATTTAACTTTAAAAAACCCCCAAGCGAACCCAACTCGTCACAGAAAAACAAAGTTTTAAAGGATTCCCTGTGGTTCCTGTTGTAAGAGCTGAAATGAGGGATGTGGGACTCCAGACTGGCTCTTTAAATTCTGTTTATTGTATCCAAAGGATACAGCAATTTATTTATTAATTTAAATGCTGTTTGTTGTATCCAGAGGATCCAGCAACTTATTTCTTATTTGAAATGTTGTTTGTTGTATCCATGGGATTCAGCAATTTATTTATTATTTCAAATGTTGTTTGTTGTATCCAGAGGATCCAGCATTGTATTTATTAATTTAAATGCTGTTTGTTGTATCCAGAGGATACAGCAATTTATTTATTTTTTGAAATGTTGTTTGTTGTATCCAGAGGATTCAGCAATTTATTTATTATTCCAAATGTTGTTTGTTGCATCCAGAGGACCCAGGAATTTATTTATTATTTAAATGCTGTTTGTTGTATCCAGAGGATTCAGGAATTTATTTATTATTTAAAATGCTGTTTGTTGCATCCAGAGGATACAATATTATTAATTTATTAATATCCAGAGGATTCAGCAATTTATTTATTATTTAAATGCTGTTTGTTGTATCCAGATTTTACAGCAATTTATTTATTATTTAAATGCTGGTTGTTGTACCCAGAGGATTCAGCCATTCCCGGCTCCTGGGTGACAGAGCCCAGCCCACAGGTGTCAGCCACACCTGTAGGATCATCTGAACCCCTCCAGTTGTGCTTACAATGCATCCCAGACTTTTCTTTTAATCCATAACAACCAATCCACGCCTTTCCTCTCACCTCCAGCCTGTCCTAACTGCTGACATTTCCATATTCACGGTGCTGTTCTCCAGTCACTAACAGCCCTGTGGGACACTTTAAGCCTCAAAGTTGTTTTTTTTTTTCAGTTTTCTCGCAGTGGAAAATTCTGAGATCTTTTCTCTACTTCCAGCATTGGAATTCTCGTTTGCCTGTGGAATCTTTTCTCTTGGTACAAACACTTTGTGGTTTTGGTGGGTTTATCCTTTGCTCTGAGCCATGCAAACCCTTCCAGCTCCCACCCTGACACAGCCTTGGGCTCCTTGGTTACCCAGGAAAACTGGCTCAGCAATTCTTGTCTCCTGCATCAAAACTTGCTTTCATTTCTATTCCTTCTCCAGATCCTACATCCAAAGACCTCTCTGTTATACACAGCTGTGAGACCTTCCTGTGCCTTTCTCCTCCCAACACCCGTCTGAGTGAGGATTTCGGGGGTGAAATGTGTTTTTTCCCGTGCTCCACCCACCGAGCTGATGTTCTCCTGGTTGCGTTTGGCTCTCTCCATCTCCGGGGTGAGCGGGGTCGGAGTTCCCTTGGCCATGTGCTCCTTGTACAGCACCTGCAGGGCACAGACACAGCTCAGGCTGCAGGAATTCCAGAGGAATTTTCCTGAGAGTGGGGTTAATGTTCAAACAAACCCAGCCCTGCAAAGTGGAGAAGATCTGGGGAAACAAAGCAGCTGGAACGTTATTGGCATAAGGTAAAAACAAAACAAACAAAAACCATTAAAAAATCAAAGGGAAAACAGGCAAAAATAAGGAAAACAGGGGAAATAAGGCAGAATTAGGTGGAGTTTGGCTGAGGATGGTTATTTTTGACACAAGGTGCTTGGCAGTACCGAGCTGATTTGTTCCTGGTTCCGCTTGACTCTCTCCATCTCCGGGGTGACCGGGCTGGGAGTGGCCTTCCCTAAACCTTCCCTGTATGCAACCTACAGACCACAAAGGAACTCAGTCACCAGGGCAGAACCCCACAACGGGCAGGTTACTGGGTTTTACACTCAACACCAGCCGTTAGCAAAGGGGAGGTAAAAAGGAAAAAAAAAAAAAAAAATTCGTATTAACAAGTTAAACCACCAAAAAAAAAAAAAAAATCCTTTAAGATCACAGTACTCGAGAGTGACTTGTAAAGGTAAAAATGAGAGGGTTAATTAAACCAGGCAGAGTGAGGTTATTCACAAGGGCTCTGTGCCATCCTGTGGTGTTAAGCACTGCACTTTTAGGAGGTTTGGGAAGGTTTTTCCCGGGGGGAAATACCGAGCTAATGTGCTCCTGGGTGCGTTTGACTCGCTCCATTTCTGGGGTCACGGCCGTGGGGGTCGCCTGCCCCACGTTCTCTTTGTACAACACCTGCAGGGGACACAACAGCGAGCCCGGCTCTTCAGCTGCCCCAAAACACCAATTTGGATCTCAATTATTACTTTGTTACCGCATTTCAATACCCCAAACGTTTAGTGCTGCCAGGAGGGGTGAGGAACACGGAGAGGAAAAATGGGATTTGGGATTAAGGAAAAGATTTGGGGTTCAGGGCTCTATCCAGGGGAGAGCTCCAGAGGCTCAGGAAGAGCCTCTGGCTCTAAAAATCTCTTTAAGAAAGGCTTCATCTGCTTTTTTTAATCTATATTTGAAGAAATTCCTGAATTTTTTGGGAGGGAGGTGGGAGTTTTGTTGTCACGCTGCCCCAGATAATGATAATTATGATAATAATGATAAATGATGTCAAGGCTGGGTGTTTTTCCCTGAAGTCAAATCCAATGAAAGGTGAAACACCAAACACAGAGAGAAACCCGGATATCCCTAGAAAAGCTGGGCTAGTGGGAGATAATGAAATGAACTCCATGTCCCTTCCAACCCAAACATTCCCTGATTCCCACCAAGGGATCCAAACTCTTGAGATGCTCTGGATAGAACCCACAAATTCACAAACCGAGTTGTAAAAAAAAAAAAAAAGCCTAAAATTCTGGATCACATCGTTAACACCGAAGTCACTTGGGTTTAGAAGGAGCAATTAATGTGCAGGAAAGAAAGAAAGAAGTCTGTTTTTAAATTAAAACCAGCTCTGAGTGGGAGTTAGGTGTTACTCGATTAAGTTGAAGCACAAAGGAAAGCAGAAATTGCTGGGCAGGTACCGAGCTAATGATCTCTTGATTGCGTTTGACTCGCTCCATCTCGGGGGTGATGGGGGTCGGGGTCACCTTCCCCACATTTTCCTTGTACAAAACCTACAGGGTACAAAGGGAGTATCCAAAAGTCATTGAAAAAGAAAAGAAAAACGATTTTTTTTTTAAAAAAAAAAAAAAACAACCAAAAAAGCAGAGCGGACAAACGGAGTTAGGGCTGGGGCACAGGAGGAGCAATCGGAGCTTTGCCATTAATTTGGGATGCAGGAATGGGCCCTGGCTGGAATCATCGGCGTCAAAGCACAGCTGGAGTAAGAAAGGGTTAAAAAAAAAAAAACAAAAAACAAAAAAACAAAATCAGGACAACATCCATCCCCAAAAAAGGGATTTTTTTTTTTTTCTAGTAAAACCCTGCCTGGGGCAGGGTTAGAGAGAAGAAATTAAAGATTTGTGCGTGAGCACGGGCGGGGCCTCGGGGCTGAGGCATTTCAGGGGTTAATAAGCACAGGTCGCTGATGCTCCAGCCGGGTTAAACACTTCACTCCGGTTTTTAAGGAACTTTTCCTGGTGGAAATACCGAGCTAATGATCTCCTGATTGCGTTTGACTCTCTCCATCTCGGGAGTGACGGGGGTGGGGGTGGCTTTCCCTATGTTTTCCTTGTACAAAACCTGCGGGATGAGAGAAAGGAGCCAGAGAAAGGCACAGTCAGCGACAGATCTCCCAGAAAATTCCTTTTTTTTTTTTTTTTTTTTTTTTTTTCCCCATTGGATTTAATTCCCCAGTTGGTTTTAAAGCAGGTCCTGGGCGCTGTTTTAGTAGAGGAGTGTTTTGGCAGCCTGGCTTGAAGTGCTGGTGATAAATGGGGTAAGCACTGAGTCAAAGAGCACGAATTAACTGCTTGGAAATAAACGGGGTAAGCACTGCAGAGAAAAAGGAGAGGGATTCGAGCGGGTTTAGGATTAGATCAGGACATTAAAATCACTCTTAAAACCAACATCAACCGAACCGAGTTAACACTTCAACCCCAAAAAGCCACGAGTGAGGAGCGAGCCCTGCTCTGCAGCGTTATTTTGGGATAAATCCTTCTCCAAACGGTTAAAAAGGGAATTCGGGAGAGTTTAAAAAAAAAAAAAAAAAAAA